GGCGCCCCTGGCGGGAGGCGCTACAGCAGCTGCAGGTCACTTTGACCCAAGGACAGCGGGTTAACACAGGTCTTTTCATCAATAACTATATCAGGCAGACTCAGGCAAAAAAACCTCCAAATTGGCACTTTAATCTTGACGTAATCTTGGCTTCATTAAGTCATTTGTTCGACTTATTGATTGGAGGAAAATTCTTGAGCAATCCCCAGGCTTCCTTCAGGATGCTTTTTGTGGGCAATCACCACCAAGGGCCTGCATGAATCTGAGAGTAAACAGAATACAGATATCGTGATAATCACAAAACTTGAATTTAAAACATAGCCCATCTGTAACATAAACATAAGTAATGTGATTAAACTACTGTGTAAATATACTGTAACTTGTACTGTAATACGCTGTAATATAGTTCCATTACACATGAACCCACACATATTCAAAAATCATGTACTTATAAATCTGGAAGAATCAAATAAGAATAAAAATGAAAATAATCAGATGAAAATACTCTAATATAAATGATTGAATAATAAATGTGTAATAGATTATATGTACGTGATTTATATGTAATACGAGTATATGGAGATATGATGTGATGTCATCCATTGTCCTTCAGTCAGCTCACTCCCTTGCAGTTTCACTCAGTCGCCTCCTGGTAGAGCTCCTCTTCATCGTCTTGTCTGATGCCCAGCCACTCCATTTCAAGCTCTGCTGCAGTCTGATTCTGCTTCACTTCCTGCGCCATCATTACCATCTGCAGTGTTTTTTTTCTTGACTGCTCTAAGAATGAATGATCTCACTACAGGAAGGCAGCAACACAGAACAAAACTCATCCTCACTACTCCAATGGAGACAATTACCACTAATCTAACCAAACCCTGTTTCCAGCCACTGTCAGTGTTCATTAGCCAATTTATCCAACCCACATTAGCATCCTTACCAGTATTTTCCATTACTTCAGCCTTCAAGGCCCTAAGCTTCCTCATAGCCTCTGTGAAAGTTCCCTCCAAAGCTGTATGGCCTGGCATGTAAGTACAACAGTACTCTTCTATGAGAGCACACACACCTCCTTTTTCTGCTAGAATCCAGTCAAGCGCTTGTCGATTCTGCCAGGCCATAGCACTTGTAACACTCACCTGCTCTCCTAATGCACCTAGAGCAGGGGTGGGCAATTAATTTTTACAAGGGGCCACATGAGAACACCTGCACTGGACTGCATGGGCGGTTGCGCTGACCACCTTGTATGGACCTCCTCTTTGAGGAAAGTCCCACTTTCTCCTAAACACTTTGACATGCACTTTGTCCTCCTGGACCTCTCTAGCCTGCAGACAAACAACACGGGAGGAGATACTCTGTGTATGTTAGTCATGCTTCACATAAGATCTCATGTCATTTGTCAAAATGTCTAAAGATGGACCCTTCACAGTTCTGTTCACTGGTGATGGCATCAGCCGGCCAAACAAAGCCTCATGCAGTGTTAGCCCCAGCGTTTTGTGAGCGCTCACTCTCCATGCCATGAGCTCTAGCGGCAAAGCATCGGCACAGTTTAACCCAGTGCTCATGCAAATCTAAAGTAATTTGTTTTTCAGGATCCCATTGCATCTTTCAACATCAGACTGTGAAGTTGGACAATACACACTCCCATAACGTTGCTTGAATCCTAGTTTCTGCAAAACACACTTCACTGTCTTGTCCACAAACTCTTTATCATTATCTGAACTGATTTTAATGGGCAAGCCAAATCTTGGTCAAACTTCTTTGCACAAAAACTTAGCCACTGTCTCCGCATTTTTCTGTTTGGCAGGCGGAGCCTCTGGCCATCCATAACCACAAGCATGTATCGCTTGCCCTGCACTGGTCTGACCATGTCAACAAAGTCCATGGACAAGTGCATAAATGGGCCTTCTGGAATCAGGAGGTGTTCCGCAGGGGGAACCATGCCCCGTCAAATGTTGCACTTAAAACATGTCTCACAACGACGTAAGACTCCATCCACATGCTGTTGCAGCATTGGAGCCCAAAAATTCCACTCTCTTATTCTCCTCAATACCTCACCTCTTGGTTTGGGGAGGCGACAGTGGTGCGGGGGGTAGAGCAGTCATCTCCCAACCAGAAGGTTGAAGGTTTGAATCTCAGTGCCGGCAATTGACGTGTCGAAGTGTCCTTGGGCAAGACACTGAACCCCCCCCCCCTGTTGCCCCCGATGGTTAGAGCCATCGATTGAGGTGGCACCACAGATGGCTGCCATCGGTTCTGTACCGGAAACGAATTCCTTGTGTGTAACAACACACTTGGCCAATAAAGGTGATTATCCTTACTCATGGCTTAACCCATGTGCCTCATTTTTCAACAGAGACGGCAAACCACTGGGAGCCACGAGTAGCCCCTCATGGTTCCTCCACACTCCTTCACTATCAGTGACTGCTCCTCTCTGAACCCATAGCTGAGATTCAGCTTGTGTAACTTCATCCTGCAGCCGGGACAAGTCCTTGAAAGTTATTGGCTCCTCTGCCTCTATGTCATGAACATCCATAATGGCTTTCTCACCTGCAGAGGCAGCACTTTTTGCTGCTTTGTCAGCAGCTGCATTTCCTAGTGTGACCACTGAATCATCTTTTTGATGAGCAGCACACTTGATAATAGCGAGGGCTTTTGGCTTCATCATTGCTGTTAACAGCTTCTTAATTTGGTCCCCATGCAACACAGACGAACCATCAGCTTTCTTGAAGCCTCTTCCTTTTCATGCTGAACCAAACAGATGACAAACACCATGAGCAAAGGCTGAATCTGTATACACATTAGCCCGCTTGCCTTCAGCAAGCTCACACGCATGAGTCAGAGCTTTCAGTCTGCCGAGCAGGGCTGTGCACAGTTGACTACACACCACCAGCATTTTGCCATCTCTCTATTTTACCACTGCAAATCCTGCTTTGAGAGCCTCTCCCTCTCTAAAGCACAATCCATCCACAAATGTCATATCCACAGCCTCCAGAGCAGGGGTGGGCAAACTACGGCCTGCGGGCCACATCTGGCCCATTGGTCCTTTTAATCCGGCCCGCCGAAGATTGGTACAGGATTGCCCAAATCAAATCATATAATTATGACTGCATTCATTTGACCTTGTCCTGTAATGCCTGGCGTTCCACCAGGTGGCGCATTAGGCTACATTAACTTGATTTTGCGGAGCCAGGGCTACTCTCAGTTATTACTCTGGTACTGCTCTGAACCCATCTGCAACAATGAGTGGGCCAAAGAAAAGAAAAGTCGACAGTGAGTGCCGAGTGTTCAATAAGGAATGAACAGCTAAATATTTTTTTACTGAAGTTCAGTCAAAGGCTGTATGTCTTATTTGCCAAGAAACCGTTGCAGTTTTAAAGGAATACAACATATGCTAACAACCAGTCAACGCAAGAATGGACGGCTACTGCTCAGAGGCTCAGCAAAACACCTTTATCTGACAAACTGCCATACAAGAATCAAGCACGAAGGCAGGTTATTTGCTGGCATTCAAATTAGCAAAGACCAGCAAGCCTTTATCTGAAGGGGAGTTTCTCGAAGAGTGCATGGTAGAGACAGCAGGTATTTTGTGTCCTGAGAGCAAGAACAAATTTGAAAAAAATTACCTTATCACGCAGGACAGTGACTCGCCGTGTTGAGCTAATTGACGAAGA